CCGAAACGTAATAGTTGGGCGCCATTTTGCCACCCTCCAATTTTCCCCTAAAGCAAGATACACAAAATAGGGTGGTCAATAAGAGTGTCAGGCTAGCTACCTGCCGGTGAGTGGTCGTGCAAGTTCTTAAAGTATGAATAAAAATAAAAGGGCGCCAGTGACCTTATGAAAATCCCTTTACACTCTCAAAACGTTTAAGTATCCGGCCACGTAATACTTTCTACTTTACTTTCTGCATCTTACAAGGAACCGAATCATTCTAAACTTCATTCAATAACCTTGGTCACTGGGTATCATCAAGTGTCAATTAAACATTAGCTAGGGGAAGTCAAGTAAACAGAAACATAATCAAATGTACGTATATTAGGATTTCTGAAAATATGGAACAATAAAACATTCAGTGTTCCTGAGACTCTAGAAAAGATTATGTTTATCGAAATCGCACCCAGAATAAATGTTAATTATTGCTTAAATTTGCTATTATGGAATGCCTATATGTAATAATTTTCTCAGTACCTTTTGTGATCACAATCGGCTTACACAATATTTATGTAAACAGTTATATACACACTTCTCAGTATAGGCGTTAAGATATAAAACTCTGGGCGCGAAATGTTATGGCATAGAGTCCCAAATGATTAGTTATGAGTTCCAAGGATGTGAACGAACAAATTTGCGGACTTCTATAGCGACTATAGGTTTCAGAGTTATAAAATTATGAGGACTCAGGAACCCGCAAATATTTTGGATATTTCCTAAATCTTACACAATGTATTGATAACACACTATAAAAAAATTAAAGGTTCGATAGTAACGTGATATTATTCCCAGAATAGGTTCCCAAAGACGTTGATACACTTATCTGGCAATCTGGAGAATCCACAGATTGTATTAACGTCCGGATTGTAGAATAGGCGATCTAAAGGGCCTTATTAATCGTGAGAATAACCAGCTAACGAGAGTTGGACATCGAGTAGCTGCTTTACTGTTTTTAAAGGTATGACCACGTACCCTCTTGGTACAACCTTGCTACCCTAAAATGTGACATAAAAAACCCTATTGAAATATAGCTATAGAAAACTACGATTTTCTATGAATTATTGTGCAATAAAAAAAGTCCTGAGAAATATTTTGAAGAGCAAAATATTTGAATTCAATTTGCCAAAATTATTGCACAACCTTCATTGATTTTTCGTTCAAATAAAAAAACAATTAAGTACTGCTACTTACACACTGGAATGTAAAGTGTGGATTTTCAGCTTCAATATAAGAAGTTTGTCGATTTCCCAAGAGTAGACGATCTTCCAATTTTCTATAGCAAAAGAAAACACGTCACAAATAAGCCCCAACACTTAGCAATATACTCAGAAAATGTAATTAAATAATAGGAAAACTCACCAAGAGAATTGAGTAATATTCAGCTTTGAGGCGATCACTTTAATCCGACATAAGTCGATGAGTGAGTACAACAACTCCACAAGAGAACCAAATTCACTCAGGATGCTAAATAATGGATATAGATCCCTTTAAAAGGAACGTGCTACAATCTGACGTCTTTTCAAAATTTCCATTAATAGCTGTGATCGGATCAAAAACCAAATGACCACTAAATCACCTTTTCACAATTCGATAGGAACCAATTGGTGCATCGTAGCGGAAGCGGGGTACGAGGGGTACCTAACGCGTTGTGTGGAAAACGAATCGACGCATTAATATATTCTCAGGAATTTCTCAAGTCCTACAATTATGATACTTATGTACATTTTATATACAGAATCCTAAACTAATCGAAACCGTTACACTTTAGAAGAAAAGGCGATTTGAAAGAACATATATTGATACACTTGGATATTTGATTTTTTTGAATGGGATATTTGCAAATCAAAATTTAAATGGAAACGCGATTTGAAGATACACAAACTAACACATTCGGGTATTTATCCATTTGAATGTGACACTTGCAAGGCAAAACCTAAACAAAAAGGTAATTTACAAAGGCACATTTCAACACACTCGGATATTTATCCTTTTCAATCTGACACTTGCAAATCAAAATTTGAACGGAAAGCCGAATTTAAAGATTCACAAAATAACACATTCGGATATTTATCCATTTGAATGTGACACTTGCAATGCAATTTTTTTTTTCGTTTATTATTTTATTCACTTAATAGTGACATGTGTTTCGCTCCGGGATCCTTGAATTCGGCCACAAAATTCACCTGTTTCGGAATAAGGAAAAGGGTGACAATTTTACGATAGTTGGACTTGGCCCAATCGGTTATTGGGTAGGTGGATATTTTATGACCCATCGGCCATCAGTATCAATATGCAAATCGGTATACTGAAATATACATATTAGATCCACTTATTTACTTATTATGACAAGCTAAAATCTCGGGCACGGTGGAGGAAAATCCAAAACTTAGGCTTAAGCATTGAATATTAAAAAAAAGATTCAGAAATCGGTAAATCGTTACAAAATTGTTTCGGAATGATGTTTTTGAAGAATCATGAATTTAGCGAATTCTTTGTTTTTGAGTTATTAGCTATTCAGTCGAATCACGAAGTTGTAGTTAAATCTTCAGATTATCTCATTGGCAATTACATATCAGACGAATCGCTATTTCCACCTTTCATATAGACACATGGCACATGCCCCGATAGACCTGGATAAGAATGTAAATTAGCAAAATTTAAACAAAAAGGTAATTTGAAAAGTCACATATCAACACACTTAGATAGTTATCTTTTTGAATGTGACATTTGCCAAGCAAAATTTAAAGGAGAGGTCTGTTTGAAGAGACACAAACTAACACATTCTGATATTTATCCTTTTAAATGTCACATATGCAATGCAAAATTTGAACACAAACGTAGTTTGAAAAGCCACATATTAACACACTCGGATGAGAAGAATTTTAAATGTAACATTTGCAATGCAAAATTTAAAAGAAAAGGCGATTTGAAGAAACACATATGGATATTTAATTTTTTTGAATAGGACATTTGCAAATCGAAATTTAAACGGAAACGCGATTTGATGATATACAAACTAACACATTCGGATATTTATCCATTTGAATGTGACACTTGCAAGGCAAAATTTAAACAAAAAGGCACATTTCAACACACTCGGATGTTTATCCTTTTGAATGTGACACTTGCAAATCAAAATTTAAAGGCAAAGCCGATTCAAAGCGTCACAAACTAACACATTCGGATATTTATCCATTTGAATGTGACACTTGCAATGCAAAATTAAAGCAAAAACATAATTTGAAAAGCCACATATTAACACACAAACTGTTTATTATTTTATTCACTTAATAGTGACATTTATTTCGCTCCGGGATCCTTGAATTCGGCCACAAAATTCACCTGTTTCGGAATAAGGAAAAGGGTGACAATTTTACGATAGTTGGACTCGGCCCAATCGGTTATTGGGTAGGTGAATATTTTATGACCCATCGGCCATCAGAATCAATATGCAAATCGGTATACTGAAATATAGATATTAGAAATCGATAAATCGTTACAAAATTGTTTCGGAATGATGTTTCTGGAGAATGAAGAAGTTAGGGATTTCTTTGTTTTTGAATTGTTAGCTATTCAGCCCAATCACGAAGTTGTAGTTAAATCTTCAGATTATCTCATTGGCAATTACATATCAGACCAATCGCTATTTCCACCTTTCATATAGACACATGGTACATGCCTCGATAGATAGATTTATGTTTCATAGTAATTTCGGTAGATCTTTTTATTTTGCGCATCAAAATACATATTTACTCTTTTTTAGATTTATTAACTCATATGCAATGCGAAATCCGTCAAGATCATAAGGTGAGTTTTATGGGCAGCCGAATTCAAGAATAGGATTACTGGAGCTACCTGGTTTGTGGCCGAATTCAAGTATGCCCGTTTCGGTCATACGAGCATCATCGGACCTACAAAATAATATAGAACCTAATTAAAGTACACTGATTGGAATCGAACCCGTCAGGGTACGGCTTCGACTGGAGGTTTATAGTCACTGCTAAATTTACTTTTTATCAATTCAAATTATTCTAAGAAATAACATTACTTTCTCCGTTATTGAATTTATTTTTTCCGAATTTGAATTTACTTCTTCCGAATTTGAATTTACTTTTTCCGAATTTGAATTTACTTTTTCCGAAATTAACTTCACTTTTGTGCTTTTTACTCACCAGACTATTTTGGTGTACTAACCCAACCTACCAACCACAAACAACAAACTACCAAGTATTCTGAGCATCCTCCTAAATGCCAATACAGAAATTTACATTTGGTAACATTGCAATGTAATTTCCTTTCTCAAAGATTTGGGTGTTTGTTTTTAATCATAAAAATTCAATCACGGGGAAAAAAAACTTATGAAATAAAGTTTGTGGAGCTTCCGCATTAAACTGAAACACCCCGTAATATGTTTTCGCCGACATTAAAACATCCCTCTTGAACTTTGGATTACTTCATTTTTTTTCGGAGAGAAGTAAAGAAGCTATTTTTTCCTCTGACTTTTTTGTTTGCTTTTAATGTTCTTATTTCCTTTGGTAAGCGGCTTAAGACTAATTTCACCGAAAAAGATTTATATACAAACAAGAAATTGCCCCTGTAAAACGAAATGGAGATGCTCTAATAGGACTAAAGGCTTTTATAAAAAATTGGCATTTTCAAACATAAAATAATTTGTCCCAGGTTAATTGACTATAAGCAAAAAAAACCCGAGCAGTTTTCGGACAAATTTTCCAGTCAACAACGTAAATTCACAAAGTTGAATCGAGCTCCATAAATTCTAGTTTGTAATTCGAAAATGCCCAGCGAGCTAGAATCTTCCAGCGAGCAGTGACAAAATTTATCACGAAAATGTATGATTAATATGACTTCGGTCGGAACATCGGCAGCTGGTCATAAATCGAATATGTTGAAAGCTGGGCCTTTTGGTAATATACTATATGGACGAAGGATGATTTACTTACCCTGTTCAAAAAATTTCATAGCGTCGGTCGGCAGCCATTGACTCCACATCTTTCCTAACTGCTTCCTTGCCGAAGGATCGTCATGGCCCAAAGCGGGAAATACAAATTGCGACGAAAACGTTTTTCTTAACAAATCAGTCACGTTTTGTATCATTTCTAATTGGCGATCTTCTTTTAAATGACGCGACGCGTGGTGGGATAAAGCATCTCTAAAACAAATAAAATAAATTGCAAACAAACAACCAAAATAATTAATTCACGCAGTCGATGCGGCACCTTTATCAAAACATGTTGCCAACATCGTCACAAAAGATATTTAGTTTCACAGGCCAGTAATTATTAAGGCAAACATGCATTTCGCGCTGCCAATTTGCATTTGCTTGGTTGCTAGCTGATTAGTCCGCAGTCATGTTCCATACAATTTTAACTTAGTTTCAGGATGAGAGAAATCAAAACCTGCTATTTGATTCCTTTGAATTTCCAACAGGAACTTATTATTATAAATAGGAATATATTTTGAGATAATATGTCCCCTTAGGAAAATTATCTTTATCGTTTTGCTTACACACCCACCTTCCGGATCGTTCCATGAATTAAACAAGCCTCAAATTTAAGTCTATCATTCCCCGGAGATAATAAATATTGACCCTTATGTCACGTTGAGGATGGGCATGGGCGCTTCCCGCACGTAATTGCAAGTTAAACTGGAATTTGAAATTTCAGAATTTATTGCTTCGGAAATACTAGATCTTATATACAGGGTGTCCCAAAAAGATACCGAAAAACTTTAAGGGGTAGTAGGGGACATCAAAACAAGCATTTTTGTTTATATAAACATATGTCCGCAAATGAGCCATTTGGGCTGTAGAGCAAAAAATCTGTTTGATATTTTCATTCTTCGCAATAATTAAATCACTGTTTACTTATTAATTTTGCTTTATTATCAAATAAATTATGGTTTAGAATAATTGTTCAAAATGTTGACCATTTACATCAATGCAAAGATTACACCGTCGGGTCATTGACTGAAAAGTTTAGTCTACGAAACACCTGTTCGTAATGAGGAAGATCTGATAGCAAGGAAACTGGCGAGTTGTACCCATGTAGAAGCTATTCCCGGAATATTCCAAAGAGTTCGCGAGTTGTACAATTATTTTAAACCATAATTTATTTGCTATTAAAGCAAAATTAATAAGTAAACAGTGACTTAATGATTGCGAAGAATAAAACTAGATACCAAACAGTTTTTTTGCTCTACAGCCCAAATGGCTCATTTGCGGACATATGTTTATATAAACAAAAATGCTTGTTTCGATGTCCCCTACTACCCCTTAAAGTTTGTGGGTATCTTTTTGGGACACCCGGTATAAGCAGTTAGGGTAAGGGGAGATTTTATTTCATCCTTCTGAGATTTTAGTTGAATATAAATTTGGCTTTGGGATGCCAATGTCAAGGCACAGTTGATTGTATCTACTTGATTCTTTTCCAGGATTATTTGCTGATTTAGATAATGAACGAAGATGGATTGGAATACTTTGCAATTTTATCATACTTATCAATATCATCTTGTCATGCAGTATTCTTTTAAAATTTTTCTCAAAACTTGAATTTTGGAGGCACGGAATGAGTTGAGCATTCATATCAGCCAGTCATTCGAACCCGCGTCTTCAGCATTGCCGGTTCCACGATCTAACCAACAAAGCCACCACGACCCTACAGATCTTTTCGATTTTTGTTTTGGTGTTGTTAAAGGAAGTCGCGTGGTTCTCCGTTCATTACCAAACTTCCCAATACTCCAATAGATTTGATTCGCCTCGCTGCGCTCGGAATTCAAAACTTCCATGCACGTCACGTGAGTATTACTTATACTCCTAATAAAATAAATATCTATTATTGTTCTTAATTATTTTTATATATTTTGGACTCATTTAAAAGTACTAGTTCGTACACCTAGCGACATCTATGATTCTTCTGACTAGTCTTCCTAACTTTATATCGAGAATTCTGTTATTTTCAAGAAACCTGTAGCGCTGTCATTTTTATGATTTTGACTAACTTGACAGACAAAGAAAGAAAAGAGAAAACCAATTTGGGTACTTTTCACTTGCCCTTTTCTCTTTTGTCTTTGGACCGAAACAGGTCGTCCAGATTTTGAGAATTTTAAAAATCTTAAAACTTTATTTTTGTTTTTGGCCATCGAAGCCACATTCTTGAAAATCAACTAGCCGGAAGAGTGCTTGATCTTGTGTACTAGAAAGTTTCCTGGAAAATCAACCGATTGTTGATTTTTGTGAAGATTTTGGAAAGTGAGGTTACTATCGGCCGTTCAGGTATATAAATTCCTTTTTCTCTCTGATAAATGAGTCCTTATATTCCCCCAATTCATTCAGGCACCTTCGGCAGGACGAAAATCCGTGCCTGCACTTCTCCAAGTGAAAATTGACAAAGAAAGTCTGTGTCCTGTAACAAGTTGATCCCCAACCATTATTTGGTTGTCTCTAGCCAGTTTGGTACCTCCAGATCCCAAATTTGTGAAAACTTCCGAGGCTTCACAAGGATTGCGTCCAGGCTTGTATAATTACTTACCCATAGATGTCTTAAACGTGCCATCTTTATTACGGTAACTTATTTTTACCTTTTCTTTATCCCCCCCTATCGTTTAGCTTCATTAGCTAATTAATATCTTTGTAAATTCAATTACCGACGTAATTGTTCACCGTATAGTAGTGTTTAGCTAGAATAGCTAACTACTGTTCAAATAGAATTATTAATTTAATTAATTAATTCTCATCAGAGTAGACCCAAATGCGCATGCGTAGATGTCAAAATAAGGCCAATTTAAATACTGCTTGTCCTTATTGCACGTCCAATAACTCTCTATTATAAATTTATTTCCGTAACATCGAGTACTGATCGATATAATATTATTGTGAATTCATTAACCTTTAAAAGATTTATTTAACTTTTTATTTCGAGTCAATAATGTGGTAGTTTTACAAGGTAAACTAATGTAAAATCTTTAGGTACCTAGTCCAATTTAAGTTTTATGGTTACCTATTTTGAACTTTAAAGGTAAGACGGTAGAGCTCTTCCGGAAACCGTGACCCCTTGATTTCACCTAGCAGGTTTTTGATATTTATAACTGCCTAGGGATTATTTATTACCTTTCCGCATTGATTAATTTGTTTTTTATTGATTTGATTGACTGAGTCAAAAATTAAAGGTTAATATTATTTTGACTTCAACATTTACACTTAGGTAAGTCTCATCGTAGGTATCTACTTAATTGTTTTGAATTTCAATCTTTTTGTATACCTATTTAAATTAAGTATTGCTTTTTTTTTAAATTAGATACTGACAATAATCACCTTTAAACAATTTATTTGTCTCAAGGTTAATGAACAACAAGTTCGCCATCTGGTCAATAAATTACTATTTTTAGAATTCCAAAACTTGTGTTTTTATTGAAGGGGTTAAATGTCAGATAGGTATTGGATTTATTTTCCCTTTTCAGATTTTTGAATTTATCTTTTTAAATAATAGCAAATTATTTGAATAGTGTCTAGTTTGGCTATTCTTTGATAATCAAAATAATTTTATACAAACTAGTGGCGACCTCTCTTTACTGTACCAACTCCAAGGACCACCCCAAGCTAAAAAACCACTGAGCATAGTCGAGCACAATTATGAGCATTCTTTTGTTTTGACAAAAGAGAGTTACAAGACGCAGGTTCGAATCCTACCCAAGACCAAAATTTTGAATCCTCCAATTTTCCTTAACTTTCTCTTCATTTTCAATTTCCACGCTTTTCGGTTATTGTAACCGACAAAACTTCAGTTTCCTTTCTTCAATGTTAGATAGAGCGGCAATTTTATCTAGAATACTTACTTGATCTATTATCAGCGAATAGTTTGTCCATACACTCTTTCCACTTTGCCCTGTGTCTTACGCTTGAATCCAGTTGGCATTTTATGAGAGGTAAACCACTAGTGGAAATCATTGTAGATTTTTCTTGGAATCACATAGTAATCAATCAGGAATACATGGAAACCATTTGGGAGTCCCTGGGAATTGCTAGGAATCTCCTGAGACTCCATGAAAATTACATAGCTGAAAATCATGTGGTAATCGCTGGTAATATCATCTCGTTCTGACCCAGAAATTGCATAATATACATTTTAAACGATACAGCGTACCGGTTGTGTATTTGCCTCGAGTGAAACCCTTACTGAAGATATCTCTGATTCAGATGAACATCCCAGTAAAATCAAAGAAATATACACTATTTTAGATCCATATTATGCAGTGTAGACACGCAATGATATCCAGGGCTCAATAACTATTTATACCTATAACAAAATCGGTATGGGTGTGGACAACCATGAAAATAAAAGTTGCCAACTTTTGGAAGATTTGCAAATTTTTCAGTGGAAACGTGTTTTTATAAGAGGAAAGACTGATATAGAAATCCCCAGAAAAAATGGAAGTCACCTGATAATCATACAAAAATATCTGAAAATCATTGGCAATCAGCCGCAATTCTTGGGATGGGAATACATGAGACTCATTGATCAATGATTGCCAAATATGGAAATCAATATACATTTGTAAGCATAGTGGTCGATCCTCCGGCATTTTATTTTCTAGAGTTTCTGAAAGGTATGCTGCTCTTCTCTATATCTTTGAAAGAACCAATAGACATTCGCCCTTTCGATTTTCCTCCAAAATTACTTATCTATTCACGTACATTATAAGCACTCTCCCCGCAAGTTCATACATGAGGATTCGTAATCCAATAACGAGTATAGGGTACAAAGTGTATTATACAATGCACCTGTACGCGCATCCAGGATAGGCAAACTGGAATACAAATTTCACCATCTAATGGGGTTATAGCAAATTTGGCTTTAAGTCAAATTATAAAGTTAGTTCGATACTCGAGCTATAACGATAACGGGGCCGTAACTTGACTTTGGCATTCAAGCAGATAAATTCGATAAACCACTCCGAAATCTATTTTTGGCATTGAAATCCATCATTAAATATAATAAATTGATTTTATTAATGACGCTCGAAAACTTTTTAATTTCATAAGCAAGTCTCCCTATCGAGAAATCAATTGGAAAGTAATCTCCTGAATTTTTAATGATCATTAGAAGGTTCAACAACTAAAACTTCCCCATTAAACCGGAGCGGTTCAGAAAACAG